ACTTAATGTCTAACAATTTGAAGTGTAGAGATGGGTAATATACCATTAAACCATACAAAGTTGTGAGTATTGTTTGTATCCTCTTAAACATTTGCAGATTTTGGTTGTGTCTCATACATAAATTAGTTTCTTTTTATGGCTGGTCATTTATCAAAACAAATTTTCTTTTTTTGCTGGCCATTTATCAAAACTATTTTCCTTTTTGTTTGCTGGTCATTCATAACAACATATTTAGGAAAATTATGTTGCCATCTTGATATTATTATTATTGTGCAACCAAATTTCCCAAAATATATTGGGTTTAGGGGTTAACAATATTATCCATTTATGGCTTTTTGTTGGTTCGTGTAATTCCCTTGATCAGGATCATCAGATTCAGATTTCTACTAATATATTTTTTAGTAATTTTTAGACCAATTGTGGTATATTGATAAGGAATTCGATTACGTGTTTATTTAATGAAATTGAAAAAATATATAGATAAAATTAATTAAATCCCTAATCTTCACTTTAATTGTAATTGTTCCCTACTAAAGAAATACGTTACCAAGTCAAACACAACCTTCACCACTTAAATTCATACTTTTCCCAACACCAACACATGTAAGCTCACCTACTCTCCCTTCCCTTTTCTGTAACGCCTCCCCCAGTCTCTCTCTCTCTCCTCCTTAAACTGTTCCTCTCAGAGGCAACACGTCAAACACCTGCCAAACCCTATTCGCACACTCTTTATCCTCTCTCCTTATCCTACACAAAGATCTGGGTTAAGGCTGAGGTCTCACTCCCAATCTCCATCGATCAACCGATCGGACAATGGGAAAAGGCGGAGCTCTCTCCGAAGGCGTTGTGAAGAAGATCTTGCTCTCCTACGCCTACGTTGGGATATGGATCACACTTTCCTTCTCTGTGATTGTGTACAACAAGTACATACTCGATCGGAAGATGTACAACTGGCCGTACCCGATCTCTCTTACCATGATCCACATGGGTTTTTGCTCCTCCTTGGCCTATCTCCTAGTTAAAGTCTTCAAGGTCGTCGAGCCTGTTCAGATGTCTCGTGATCTGTATCTCAAATCCGTTGTGCCAATTGGGTTGCTTTATTCTCTCTCTCTATGGCTCTCCAATTCGGCTTATATATATTTATCTGTGTCATTTATCCAAATGCTCAAGGCTTTAATGCCAGTGGCTGTGTATTCTATAGGGGTTCTTTTGAAGAAAGAGTCGTTTAAATCGGATACTATGGCTAATATGGTTTCGATTTCGATTGGGGTTGCGATTGCAGCTTATGGGGAGGCTAAATTTGATAGCTGGGGAGTGATTTTGCAACTGGGTGCTGTTGCTTTTGAGGCGACGAGGCTTGTGATGATTCAGATTTTGCTTACATCGAAGGGTATTTCATTGAATCCCATTACTTCACTTTATTATGTTGCGCCATGTTGTTTGGTTTTCTTGTCTATTCCTTGGATTATTGTGGAATACCCATTGTTGAGGGACACTTCGAGCTTTCACTTTGATTATTTGATTTTCGGGACCAATTCATTTTGTGCTTTTGCTTTGAATTTGGCTGTATTCTTGCTTGTTGGGAAGACTTCTGCTTTGACTATGAATGTGGCTGGGGTGGTGAAAGATTGGCTTTTGATTGCATTCTCTTGGTCGGTGATTAAGGACAGGGTGACCCTGGTGAATTTGTTTGGGTATGGATTGGCTTTCTTGGCTGTAGGGTACTACAACCTTTCGAAATTGCAGGCGCTTAAGGCAAAGGAAGCACAGAAGAAGGCTGGGCAGACTGATGAGGAGGCTGGAAGGTTGTTGGAGGAGAGACAGGGGGAAAATGCGGGAAAGAAGGACGAATCACAGGGTTGAATTGATCTATATTTTGAAACTTCTGCAGAGAATTATTGGAATCTGGTGAAGGGTTTTGAGGATGGGCGACGAAAACCCGGTATTCCAATCAAGTTTTACTTTGGATATGTGGTCCTAGAATTTTTTATGATGTCCTTTAGACTTCTAATTTACAGTTGTTCTTGGTTATTGTCACTTCATGGTATTGGGAGTTTGATCTATAACCATCATAATGCCAATGTAGGTGACTTGAGAATGACTCAGTTCGCTATCTTTTTATATATTATTAATGTTTCAGACTCCTGCTTTTGGAGAAGAATCGTTATGCTTATCTATATATGGTTCGACTTGATTACTGTCTTTATTTGTTGCAATTCATAATAGGATCAATATGGATGTTGATTATTCTCTTTCAAACTCTTGTTTTTTTGGCCTCTATTTTATGTAGTTTATGTTGTGATGCATATGGCAGTTTGTCTGTGAAATCCAGTCCTTGAATTTGTATATAGAAGTTATCACTTTTTGTGTGAGAATTCGTGTAATATAATAATGATTGGAATTAATTTTAGAACTTTTCTTTGAAAAGTTGTGATCTTGTTCGATTAATGGATCCAACGATGATGTGATTTATAAATGATTGAATAGATTGCAACAATTGATTACTATATTGGAAATTTCATAATCTTGTAAGACAAATGGAACCAAAGATGATATGAGTTGTGAATTATTGAAGTGTAGGCCTGCAACAATTGTTGTCTGATGTCCAGAATATCCGATGATGGATGGATTTGTGGACAACCCATTGTTTATGTCTTGCAATCTGGCTTCTATGCTGCCAAGAAAGTGTTTTGTGTTTGGAGATGTACTTGTATTTGGTACAACTCCAACTGCTCTTTGTGGCATCCCCTTTTCTTCCAACAGCTATGTCATCAAATGCTGACCAAATTCTGTCATGCTGACAAATATTTCATTTCCTACGTCAAATCTTAGTATATCTCAACTTTCTACTAGTTGTTCGGTTGAAATTTGACAACGTGATTGAAATTGTTTTTAGTCTCGCTAAATTATCAGAAGTAACTCAGTAGCCTAACTCTCTGTGTAAAGAACCTCCGATATAAGTCTTTCCTGTCTGAAACAAAGCCTCGATAAGTTTTTGAACATTTAAAAGTGGTGTAGGCGTCAATGTCATGTTAGGTGCATCCCCTCCCCCCAGTGTGGTGTTGTCTCGCACTCTTATCGTCTTATTGCGTGGAAGCTCTTAACAACCTATTTATTTATTGTGAATAGATTATATAAATAAATTGCTGATTGTGCCTGCCAGCAATGTTTGAATTGTTCCTCCCAATTAATCCATTAATTATTGAAGTATGTATGACTTATAAAACTTATATTTGTTCCTTCCACGCCCCTTGAATGGATGTACCAATGCATCTTCAAGGACGACCCTAGGTACTGGGTCTATTTGCCCGAGGAATAAATAAATAATTATATTTGGGTGTACTGAAAGTCAGAGGAGATTATTAGTAACATATACGGCAAGTGAAAAAAGGACAATCCTAAGGTACTGATTTTTCACTTTCATATAATATTGAAAAGTAAAAAAAATATTTATATATTTTATTTTAAAATAAGGTAAGTTTCGTCACAAAAAATGATTAGTTTCTTCACAAAAGGTGGCAAGTGCACTTAAAAGGTGAGAATGCATCACCAAACTTTGTAATATTCACTCAAAAGGTGATATAGATAAGCAGTCAGGGCAGGGTCAGACCCTCTTTCCGATTATTGAATCCTGCAATTGGTCCCACCGAATAAACTTTGTTTCTTTCTTGATATTTGTGTACGCATATCAAATTGAATCGAATCGAAGTGAATTAAATCATAATTAGATCAAATTTATATTCAAATCTAAAATCTTAGAATATAATGTAATATATTCCTACTTAGATAATTAGTCAAAAATATTAATCTATGTCTTAATAATCGAAGTCGGAGAATAATTGATTCGATAACCAAAATAAGTACATTAAAAAAATTCTATTTATTGTGTGCAAAATATCAAACATTAATTTAGACGAGTTATTAATCAACAAAAATACCGTGGGCGGCAGGATTCGAACCTGCGCGGGCAAAGCCCACATGATTTCTAGTCATGCCCGATAACCACTCCGGCACGCCCACGCAGCAGTGGCCGCTTTGACTGCTTTCTTTTTAATATATAAAGGACTTTGAAGAAAGCACTAGTTGCTGAAATTCAGTCACCGGAGAGACAAATAGGCACTCTCTTTGACCATGTCATTTTTGGCTCAAATGAACAAAATTTTCTATTCCCTAACTTTGAGGATATCGATTTTCATTTTAATTTCAACAAGATCTATTGATATCCAAATCCTGAAAGTTCAAATTATAATTATCAAATTAATGTAAAATGTTAGATTAATGAACCCCATTTATTTTTTTTCGATGGGATTGAACCGATTGATCCAATCATTTACATTTATTTGATAAATGATTTAGTGAGTACATTTTTAGGTGAAGCAAATGATTTAACATTCATTCCTCAAGTATTATACTTGCAAAGATTGTTCTTATATGGGGGGGATAGACTTTTACTATGAGAAATGAATAGAAAACGCTGGAATTGTTCGAAAAAAATGTAACATAAGGTAATTAGGGATAATTATTGATTAAAATTAAAAAATAAAAAATAAAAATAAAAATAAAATTTCAAGCATTTAAAGATAACATATGTCAATCAAGAAGCTTGACAAACGTCCATTATAAAGCAAGGATAAGAGTCCACTATGTGTCAAGAAAGAAACAAGTGTTAGTATAGGAGTCTACAGGCATGTATAGTTTAAATTAATGGCTTGAGACGTGTCCAACCAACCCAAAGAATGATGTGACAAAATCCATTAGCCGATGCACTATAAATCATCAAGTGAAAGTGGAGCATCAATGGATTGTTACGACCCTTATCTATCCCAGAATAGTATCAGAGCGAACAATTAATATGGCTGTGAGAGGGTTGGGGGTGTTGCATCAACAGCTAATACCACATGCATATCACCAGAAAATAATCACTATACGAGGGAAATGTTCCAACAGATTGCATAAACACCTTCACAATGACAAAACCTCATTTTGTATCACCTTGACAAATGCAACATGCCTATGCTCCAATCCAGTTCAAGAGGAAATTTACATTTCAGCAAGCTCTTTCTCACAATTTTGAGTATTTGAACATTTCTGTTGTGCATTGTCAACACTCTGGTGCAAGCCATAAACTCAGTTCAAACTACATTGTTCGGGATAATCTCACAAGGGTATACTGCAAGCTAGGCCAGATGAGAATTTCACATAACATTGTTTGTGAGAAGCTTGATCCTTTTCCTTCTTCGAAAGCATTGAAGGTGGATTCGGGGAAGTCACAGAATGCAATTCATATTTGGTCAATAAGCGAAAACATATGTCACTACATCAAACATCATCACAAGCACACTTATGACCAAGACAAACGAGGAAATAATAGTGCAATATGATTCATCGTGATTTCTAGAAGTTATAACACCAATACTGTAGTTTCTCAGATTATATAAAAGATATAAAGCTCATCATGGAAAAAATCAAAAACACCCTTTGCTAATAGCACAACTCATCAATCAGTCAAAGCCTCTAAAGTGAAGCGACTTTGGAGGCCCATCACGCCAACAGCACAGCCTTGATTTCTCAGATCAAAAGTTTCTCAATGGCATCCTGCATCAGAAACAAAAGTCGGCACTCATTATCAAATTGGAAGGAGAATGAAAAAAACACTATGGACCAGACTTTTAACCAGACATTTACAAGATATCTGATATCAGATAGCCAGATACCTTGAGTTGCTGAATTTGAGATTTTAATTGGCTTCCCTCATTGCTTGTCACAGAACATGAAATGACAGGTCTAGTGACTCCACATGCTCGGCCAAGTGCTTGTTTTGATGGAACAAAAACATAGGGTACATTCTGCATATAGAAACATAACACTAATTTACATCCATTTTCAAAGTTGTCCACCTCTCAAAGTGTTTAACTAATGCCTCATTCACTGAAATTGTGGGAGGGAGTGATTACATATCAACTAAAAATTGAAACAACAGCTTCAGAGATTCAGTTTGAACTGATGTATTATGCTTGGAAAGTCAATCATGAAACCTATATTCTTAAAGAGGCTACTAATAGAAAAATAGACCTATTCCTTCTATGTCACAGGGTTAAACCCCAAAAAATTTGTTTTTTTTTCAAGGTTTTCTCACGTTTTCGATAAAACCCTCTCGTAAAAGTATTTTAACCAAATTTTTAATAATATTAGTAGATGTTATTCGAACCACTCTTTTTCTATCCATCTTCATAGTGTTTTTATTTATTTGAAAAATATGGCTTCTAGAGGGAAATAGCAATAGGAATATTGATGTGATAAATCGTGTATGATGGAACAGTATGTACAACAAGATCAACTTAATGACCAATTTGATGTTACAAATATTTCTCCATACACCAACAATCCCACAGTTCAGGTTTTGCGATGATTAAATATCAAGAATTTATACGAAATACTAAGGCATTCAGAATCTTCTTCATCAGTTTTTTCATACCCTTTATACCAAGAAACAAAATTGAAACTTCTAATCAAAATTACAAAATTTTACTTGATTATTCAAATAGACAAAAACATATCTATCGAGTATATGTAGCCTTTCATACATCAAATCCCACTTATGAGGAAATCACCTTATCTTCAGCAAGGAGGGGAAGATGGAGAAGGATCTCCAGGGGCTCGGTGTCTGCGGCCATCACTACGAACTCAGATATACCCCTGTTCAGAGTCTTTGTTGCTGAAATTTAAAGGGCCAAACCACAAATTAGTTTAAAATGGGAGGACCATAGAGGTAGTAGATACACAAATGTAAGGGTTTAGTGTTGTAATTAAACCTTCATTAGCACCCTTTTTGAGCTGCTTGTAATTAGCAGCTTGTTGAACAAGGTCCAGTATGGTTATCGTCAACTGGGCATCAGCCAGTGGGTATGCTTTTGGATTCACTACTTCACCTGTCTGCAAATACATATATATAGACAACAAAGTCACATATCTATCTATCTATATCTATACTACTTCTAAAAGTACCTTACAAAGAAAAACTTTTATTTTCTCTTCTATTCTCGAACAATTATATAAAGACAATCATATCATATTTTCTAATTTAACTCTTAGACCATTCCGATTCTAGGAATAAATGTTCAATTACAAGTGCAATGGATAAATCTATATCTATAACCCTAGGACCCTTCCAATTCTAGGATTTCATACTCAATTACAATACAATGAATAATCCAATCACCTTTTATGGGTAATCTATATTATCTCTTAGATCCTTCCAATTCTAAGAGTACATATTCAATTGCAATGCAATAAGCCACATTTTACAGTTACAACTTATAGAGGCTCCAAAATAGTGTCACGAAAGCCATAAAGAGAATACTAAGAAGTCTTTGATTAATAACTCCATTAAAATACATATTATACACTTCCTATCCTTTCCTATTTCCAGGTTATCTGCCCATCTAAATTCAACTCCCCAAATTTTTCTCTGCATCCCAACCCTTGTATAATTCCATGAAATATATATATAATTCCATGAAATTGGTCTGCCCTGTTCAAAAATCATTTCATCATCTAAATTATGTCAAAGCATCTCTGCAACTCCTTTTGCTATACACTGTTGATTTTTCAAGTTCTAATTGTTTTAGTTATGGCCACAGCTGTAATATGGCTTAGTATGATTCCAAGAAGTCCCACCTTCACCATTGATGATATCGACATTCCAGCTCCAGATGAACAAAATTTTGAACATCACAATGAAGTGATCCGAAACACTTGTTTCATCTTCAATTGAGATATTGCATCCAAAAAGTGGTATCAGTATTACTACAACAACATTTATATCACCTTGTATGATTGCCGTGTCATCGTTGGCACGAAATCAACACCAGCTTTCAGGTAATGAAACAGTGGGTGGTGAAGCTTCTTGTGTCCGTGGACTCGCAATTGATTTTAATTAAAGTGGATAAGCCACAAGGACTCACTCTATCCTTAACAGCCATTGCCAGTTTCTAATATGGTGATCATTTGGTCAGGCTCCTTTTTTATTGATGAGAATTAATTGGATTTAAAGCATTCCAATATAGACATTGTTACTTTACTAATCATCTACGGATTATATATGTTTATCCACGGTTAAAATAGAAAAAAAGAATAAAACCAAGCAACAGTACTCAAATGACAAAGTATTAAGCACTTCCATGAAACAAATATATTATTAAAGAACTAACCAGAATGGTGCCTGCAAATAGTTTCATTTTAAGTTGTTATTGTTAAAACTATGTCTATATTCAATACAGTGTGAAATGTACAGTTTAATAGATGATTTTTTACTCATGTTATTATGCTACAGTATGTGCTTGAACAAATAACTTGCCTTAATTGGTTTAATCTTGATTACCACCACCACTTGCAACTCTATCAACTCTAAATTCAAGAACATCTCGTCCTCATAAAGATCAGGTAGATTATCCTGCTGTCTTATTTTCAATTGGATTAGTGTGGGCTGGGATAAATTATTGTACTGTAGAAGAGAATATGAGTAATGCAACTTTCGTTATAGCCACATCATCTTGTTCATAAATTGATCATATGTTTTTATTATATATTGTTCAACTTAAATGGATTATGTAATTTTGTTGTTTTAGGAGTTTTATTGAAAGATGATATAAAATAAGAGAACCTTTGATCACTTCAGTGTATTTGATTATGACTAAGATTCTAAATTCATGGCTACCTAAGTTTAATTTCAAATCCAAATCCAAATCCAAAGAAAAAGTATGTCGGGACATATGCATTGGTTACGACGGATGGGAATATCATATTAATTTTCACACACAAAAAAAAAAAAAGCAAGAGAGTTTGCATTATTATAATTTTTTGTAGTTTGTAGAGTTGTCAATGTTCATTAGTATTCACGTATTTCATATATTATAGAATGTAGAATTATTAGTTATTGCCTGTGCAGTGTAATAAAAAATGGTAAACAATAAATATATTTGTATTCATATCTAAAATTAAATCACAAACATAGATAAAAGATAAATGATTTTAAATATCGGTTTGTAGTGGGGGTGAGAGGTGGTGAACAACAATGGTGGTGGTAGGCGACAGTGATGGTTGTGGTGGGTGGCGATGGCAATTGTGGCGATGGCGGCGGTGGTGGCGGCGTCAGCAGTGGTGGTGGCGATGGTGGCGACGGTATTGGTGGTGGTGACGGTATTTGTAGTGGTGGCGGTGGTGGTGACAGTGACGATGATGGTGGTGGCGACAACGGTGGTGGCGGTGAGGGTGGTGGTACTGGTGATGGCGGTGGTGAGGGTGGTGGTGACGGTGGTGGCGATGTTGGTGGTGGTGGCAGCGGCGGTGACGGTGGTGGTGGGTGGTGGTTGCGATGGTGGTGACAGCGACGACGACAATGGTGGTAGTGGTGGTGGCGGTGGTGGGGGTTGGTGGTAGGGGTGGGGGTGGCGGCGGCGACGACAATTTTGGTAATGGTGGTGGTGGTGGTGGTGGTGGTGGGGGTGGGGGGTGGTGGTGACGGTAGCGACAACGGCAACGATGGTGGCGACGGCGGCGGGGGTGGTAGAAGTTGTGGTGGGGCGGTTTCAAACACTATTTTTTTAAAGTATTTATAAAAAATTAATTTTTAAAAAGTCAGTTCAAACACACCTTTAGAGGCTTATTTTTCCTATTAAACTTAGGGTATTAATATTAACCGTTAGATTAACTTTAAAGTAAAATTTAAAATGATTTTAACCGCGAATAACAAAAGTCATTTTGTTTACTTTTGAAATTTGAATTGTAAGCTAGTTTATTATATAGATTATTTTTTATTTGAATGATTGTTCATATTTGAATAGACACAAATGAGTTTTTTAAGTTCTATAAACTAACTGTTTTATGGGTTATAAGGCACACCAAGAAGACAAATTCAATAGCTTAATCCAAAAACACGTTCTAATCGAGTGACAAGGCAAAAGAAATGCTCTTTTTCTCCTCTTTCTCACGCTGCATAAATTTTTTCTTTAATCTTTCATATATATCTCAATTTTATGTTTTTGATATAACACTGGAATATGATACTGTTAGATGGTATAAGTTTTTGAAAACATAGACTAACAAAGTGTGCAGTCAAACAACAATATTGTTATCTACTTAATAAAATGATAAAATATATTTTAGTTTTTTTGCATATAAATTTATAAAATATAAACAATAATTTCAAATAATTCACGTGTGTGAAATAACTAGTAATAATAAATACACAGACACATAGATATACAACCTGCAATAGCATAATCTATAAAAGAGAGCGAGAACAAAGGCATATACCCACAACACACTAACATATAACCAATATACAAACTCCAATAGCATAATAAAGGGTGGGGGGGGGGGA